CACAATACGCTTTAATACTTTTGCTTTCTTTTCTAACTGTTAAAAGCTATCTACTTACCAATCCAGTACAATACCTTGCGTTTATATTTTTGGAACCATATTGGACAAAGCTGGTACAGCGGGTTTTAACGTCACTACCTCTGTTTTAATGTTACACAATCGTACAATATGCTTTAGTATAATTGGCTTATTTTTTAAGTGATAAATGTTATATACTCACCAATCCAGTGTAAATCCTTGCGATTTTAATTGGCGAAAAGCGCCCCCCCCTCCCCCTTGCAGCATCTTGAAAAAAAGTTAGTACAGTGGGTTTTAACGTCACAAACTTTTTTACGATTACACAATCGTATAATACGTTTTAATACAATTTTTTTTTAAAGTGGTAAAGCTGATCATCTCACCAAATCCTTCCGATTTAAATCGCGAAAAAGCCTCTCCCCCCCCCCCCCCCAAATCTAGTAAAACGGTTTTTGCCGGCTACTGTTTCTTAAGGTTACATGTTTAAAAGTTACACAATCAAGGTAGAAAGCTGTTAAATCGGTATGCAAATGCTCGTAGCCGTTAAATTTCTTAACTTTGACTGTTTATAATTAGAAATCGCAGTTTAAATGAGCTTTTATTTTTTTTCCTACCCCTTTTGGCGCCCCCCCCCCCCCACCCCGAAAGAATTTAATCCGCACCCCCAGATGTATAGTGCCCCCTCCCCCGGAGATAAAAGTTCTGAAAAAAATCTATCTCCATGATTGAGGTTTAGCGGCCAAAAGTAGGAAACGGGTCTTTATTATAGAAGTCGGCTCTACCTTTAGCCTGTATGACCTACAAATGCAACCTGTTTTTCTTTCAGACTTTCCTTCCCGGGGGGCGGGGAGTAATTGAAATTTTCGGAGGGGGGGGGGGGTGGATACTGGTATCTATAATTCTCTTCATTGGGACCAATCGAGGCACCAAGATGTAAGCTAAACAGACCAAATCACTACCACCCCACCCCCACCAGTCTGGTGAGCTGTTTACAAACGTAGTGACGGATATTAGGTTCAGATAATTTAGTTTTAAAAGTATTTGAATTAAAGGGGAGATATTAACATGTTCTGCTTGCTCTTTTCATTGTCGTCTGTAAACTGTCGTCACAGGCGGCTGCTTTCATGGATGGGGGGGGGGGGGAGTGGAAAGTGAGGCTGAGGATAATCGTCATTCACTAGCTACTGATAGTGTTTTAAAGCACAGCATTGATAGTGTCAAATTCACAAATTATGAGTTACTGAAAAATAGGAATTAATCTAACTAGCGGCGTATACTACGTCGCGGGTCAGCTCGTAGTATATATTTTCTGTATAAATGTGATGTCGTTAAAGGAGCTGGTAGGCTTTTTTCTTCGGGGGTCTCTGCATCCCTTCCCTCACTTTGTTGAAAGAAACTCTCAATTCGACTTTTGTCAAGCTTGAGCTTAGGTTCAAGGTTTAGGGGTATGACCACGACTATATTTAGTATGGATGTGCAGTAATTATGTGCCGATTCTGGATAAAAATGGCATTGTTCGTTTCCGGTTAATCGGGAAGTTGAGGAGGTGATTTTAGTTTTGGTTTAAAGAAAAAGACAACACTATCAACAGTTGTATCTCTCCTTCAACGGGCCATTTTACTCGTTATTGATAGTCTTATAAATGGAGTATCTAATCTGGCTATAATATATTGTATCACTCATTCGTTGTATTATTATATTTAATAACTAAGAATGCCATTTATTTTCAGGTCTCCAGGAATTGTGTGCATCATCAGCCCACTGATGATAAATTAATCTTGTAATAAAGATACCCACTGTTTGACACATCACCAAATAAAGGCTACACCAGCAGATCACTAACTGTTTACATTGTTTCAAACTGAATAATAATATTAATTTAGTAATTTTTTTTTGCATTTACTGATCAGCATTTGTAGTAACCGCGTATGACCACGACTATATTTATTATGGATGTCCAGTAACTAAGTGCCGAATCTGGATAATTATATATAAGAAAATATTTACTTTTACCAGTGCCCCTTCCCCCCCTCCCCCCGAAAATTTTAAGTGCTCCCCGGAGAAAAAATCTGGAAGAAACACTGCCTCAGAGGCGCCGCATACGGCCCCTGGCTCCTTATAATTAATGTAGGTGCCATAGTGCTTACAAGATAACCCAGAGCGACAAATAGCACCCTGTCGGCGCCCCATTTTATTCATAGTCTATCGCATTGTTTAAAACAAACGTAGGCGCCATAGCGCTCATGGGAAAGCCTAGGGCGCCAAATTGCACCCTGCCCGGCGATGCCCGTGCAAAGTTGAAATATTTTTCTTCGCAGAAACCTCCCCAGGAGTATTCTCATCTACTTCCCATTTCATCTACTCGGATGAACGGTTAATCTGCATCCGAATTTTATTTTTTATATACCGTATACAGAAAAAAAGTCGCACCTTCCATGGGCGCCGCCCTTGCGAAATATTTAAAAAATTTTTTTTTTTACAGAAACCTCCCCTGGAATGTCATAATCAACCCCCCGAAATTTCATGGTGTCAACCGCAATCGACTTTTATTTTTTATAATCCGCATATAAAGAAAAATCGAATCACGCCCCTTGAGGGCGCCAGCCCTGCGAATTTTTAATTTGTTTTTGCAGAAACTTTCCCAGTAGTATTCTCAACAACTTCCCAAAATGTCATGGCAATCTGATTAAAGACAAACAGACACATATACATTGGTTTATATATATTTAGATAGATCATCATAAAGCAGAATATTTAAGGACTTTTCGCCTAAGTTCTATTAAGTAATGCAAGGTACTTGTTTACATACAAAACTACATGAAGTTATATAATGTAATCAACAAACAAAAATAAGTACATTCTTAATGGAGGCGACCGAGTTGACGAGACCCCTTCCATCATATTGTTGACATGGATTAAAACCTGCATGTTTTTAGATTTTGCAATCGAAACGACCGTACAAATAATGAAAAATAATAAACCGGGAGTGATCTCCCCTAAACTTTCTCGAATATTTTTATATAAAATAACAGGGGATGGGAACTCGGGCTATAGACATGATTTTTAATCCAAATTTAATACTTAAAGTTTTAAAAATAGAATAAAATCTCTTAGACAAATTAATTGCACACCAAGTGAACGCGAAATAAAAAAGCGCATAATAGTGCGCAATATTATTAGTACTTTTAAAATTTACATTAGTTTTTTGAGAAATCGGAAGTAGCGTAAATTACTACTTCCGGTCAACGGAAATTACTCAAAATTTAACAGAAGGTAGAGAATTAGATCTTTTACTTACATGTGAAATTTCATTTATCTATCTGAAATAGTACTCAAGTTATAGGCTTTTGAAAAATTCAAAGTAGAAAAAGTACCACTTCCGGTTATCGGAAATCGCTCAAAAGTTGATACGGATCTACGATTTTGATAAAATACTTATATATGAAATTTCATCAACCTAGCTGTAACGGTACTCAAGTTATCGTGTTTACACACGGACACACAGACAGACAGACACACACACACACACAGACATACGGACAAGATTGCAAAATTATGTTTTTTCCGTATCAGTGAGGTGTAAAACGTCGAGATTTCTAAAAATCTCGATTTTTTTTTTTTTGCACGATTACAATACTTTCTCTATACTACGTATATACGAGAAAGTAAAAACTTAAGTCTAAAAATAATTCAGACATTTAATATTTTTAGAATCAATGTTATAAAAGTTGCAAATAAAGAGAACTTGAATATAATGTTATATTTTCATTTTTTTATTTTTATGTTATAACCCGATGTTTCACTTTCGTAAGACAAACATTGATTGGCTATACAGGAACTCCGTGATCGATTTCTGACAGCCTCACATCATAGTTTTTTGTTTACTAAACTTTGCAGATATAGTTTTTAAATAACACTGCAAATTTAAACCACATGACATAGTTCTGCCAATTTTTGTTTACAAGAAATTCATGCTAGCCTATCGAATAGCAGGATACCATTGTTTATGTCGCCATTACACGTGAAAACCAACTTGTTTTTGCTTTAATTTAAATTTTTATTTAATTACCAAAAATATTAAAAACATAAAATACATCCTATCTTTAGTTAAGTCCAAAAATAAAAACCCCAAACAGACAGGATTTCTAACCATATTAATTTTTAACTACACCGTGCATGATTTTTTTTTATGGCACCCCGTCAAAAGAGCGCATAATATTTTTATAATATCTAATGGGCCTGTCGAAGACCTTTTAAACTTTTCTCGCTTGGGTCCGTTCCATTTCGTCATATGTCTTTTTCCAGTTTACGTGTCTAAACTGTAATTATGTCACGTTAACTTGTACAGGTAAAGAGCAAAGTCAGTTTTTCAGTGTTTCTTTTAATTTTTTTTTCTACAGGGTGTTGGTGTGGTGGTGGCGGGGAACGGGGGGGGGGGGGGAGGGAACCTTGAAATTTTCGGGTGGCGGTCTAAATTTCCAGGGCGGACACTGGTTAAAATCTATATTAATTCTATTTCGTTGGGGGGGGGGGGGGGGGGAAGGGGCGGGTAGACGTTCTTCGGGGATCCGCCCTCCCTAGGAGATGCTTGGAATAGACTCAGGTCGGAACTAGTCGTATACTTCTAAGACGATATTGAAAAAAAAACCTAGCTATATTATTAAACAAACAGTCATAGCAAAATAAATGCGCGCTCTGAACTAGATGGACTGATGCCATTTGACAGGTCTTCAATATCTGCGTGGTTTATAACTCGAATCGCCGTTCCTTATTTGAAACACAATTTCTATATTGTCAGACTCTGCGATTGGGGCTCTGCGATGCATGTCTTTTTAAAAAGGTTTTTATAAACGTGACCCCGTGTGAATTCTCCAATAGTTAGCACGCAGTGTATGGCGGATGACCTTTCAACTTGTCTGTTTTATCGTCCTGTGAGATCTGACGACCGCGGCAGCTGGCGCGACATACACAATTAGTAGTTGGTAATTATTCAGCTTTAAGTAGGACACTAATCATTGTTCATGCATACAACTGTTTAAAACATGGCTTCCGTGAGTTGAGAATCAAGTTTGTGACTTTTGTGTTTTGGTTTTGTCAGAGCAGGAGGCTAGGTAAGGTAAAACAGTATTTTAATGACGTTTAAAACTTCTGCTCGTGATATGTAACAGGGTATACGTCTGTGCAAAAATAACCCACCAACCTTTCTTTTTTTTATCTATGTAAATAAAACTATTTGCTTTTTGTCCCCAATTGAAATGAATGCAAAAGCAATATTCTAATGCATGTAGTGACCTTCATTACTGTCACATGGATCTATAGGTTATACACAGTTACTTTAACTTAACTTTCATTGTAAATGCAATAAAGAATAAGATTTTAAAAATTAAAATTAATGTACCTAGCATTTCCACATGTTCGTTTAATTCAGTATTACTTTCAATAATTAAATAGAGCGCTTTTACAAATGGCACATAATACTTTTTTTTCACTACATAGAATTTAAGGCGTAGAAAAATAATAGCTTTATATTTAAATTTTAGTAGTTGATAATTCAGAAATTAGTATACAGGGAATAGATGAATATGGACTAATATGACGCGCTCCCTTTATTTATAAACCATATGTTGTAATATGTACAAAAACACGCGCTCATTGTAAAATGTTAGCCTAGACAGGGGGCTGGAGGATATTCTAAAACCTCAATATCTAATCCAACCCTAGAAATATCTTACCATCGGGTGTCAGTGCAAGTCCGGCTAAACCCACTTAACGTTAGTCTAAAATTAAAATAAAAACGAAAGATAATCAACTAAACGTAAATTTATTAAAACAAAAATAAATGATGGAACCAATCCTCTATATTATTTTAAAAAATGAACAGATAATCCAGTACAGTCTAAAAGCTAGACACATGTCAAACATAGCTTAATACAACACACTAGACCAGGAGTCTCCAAACTACGGCACGCGGGCCAGATGCGGCCCGCGAGGTCCTCTCATCCGGCCTGCGTAGATATTTTTGTCCACGGAAAAAAGCGTTTGTTGGTTATGGCTGAGGAACTTCGACCAGAAAAATTAAAGACATGCCAGGAAGAAACTGGCCCCCGAACTGAAATTTGATAGTTAATGCGGCCCTCGGACTGAAACGTTTGGAGACCCCTGCACTAGACGAAACAAAGTCAAATTGTAGCTGCAGCCTTTTGACACGCGAGGTGCCAAAAAAACGTTCAGCTCAACTGACTACATTCTTGCGATCGTTCTCAGAAGGGAAAAAGAAGTCCCTAGTGATCACTCCTTCATATATTGTCACTCAGCATACAGATTACAGCAAATAAACACACAAATAAATCATTCACCCGCTCACATATAGACGAAAACGCGCTCCTAGTTATACCTATGTTTTGCTGTGGACGAATAAAAAGAACTCCTTCTAAATGAATTGAACTTGCTTAATTGAATTCCAAGCTACACAAATCGATCTTGTTGTGATGATGAATAAAATACAAATGAGTATAGCACACACGTGAAACACCTGTGCAGGCTGAATTATCATAAGTCAACTTTGAACAACAGTGCTGTTAATACAGATAGAAAACAGCAGAAATGTAGGTGTATGCAAAAATTTAGTCATTTAATGACGTCATGCTTTTTTTCCCGATAAAGGGAGGAGGTTCATACTTTTATAACGTATGACAAGGGGATAGGGTATTACCAAACTATGACGTACCATTTAATTATTCTAAAGCTCCACTGTTATTTCGAATTAGGCATTTTTTGGTAAGTTGTATTTAAATTGATCAGTTTGTCTTATGTTTGTTCACATCTTTAATACTAAATCATGATTCTATGTAGCTAGGCTAATAAATTAGAATAAGTAAAATATTGTGAATTGTTTTAAAAAAAAAAGTATTTATGATAAGCGCTTCCATATGTGAACAAAAAAAAAAAAACAACAGAAGAGACGCGACCCCCCCTCCCCCTTCCCGGTTGACACGCGTGTGAGTCTTACCTTTTGTGACTATCATGATGTAGGTTGGGGGGGGGGTGTTGAGGGGGCGCTTTTAGCCAAAAAAATGTCGTCATTTATGGATTACCCCTTAACACAGTAGCGTACGCAGGGGGGGAGCAGGGGAGCGGCCGTCCCCCCCCCCCCCTCTGGCCATTTTCAGCAAAGTGGCGCCTTTTTGGAAACTTTTTAAACTCAAAGTTTTAAACAATGATATTTGTTAAAAAATATTTTTGGTCGGCACATCTATGTGAATCACAAGATTTCTTTTCATGCAATTAAGCATTATTGTACTTGTCTAGTAGTGTCTACGTTTACAACACGTATCAACAGCTGCATCAGTTTGCCATTCTAAAAATAACCATTACGATGCATTGCAATGTTTAAAAAACCTCTACGGGTAGTACCACTTGGCAAGAGGGGTGTTAAGTTTAAGGCAACTGTATAATGTATTTGCTTACGAATAATTGAATTAGAAAATGTTATACATACAACTTCACACATAATTACTTTATATATACAGTTTGAATCGTGTGATTAATTTTAAAAAAAATTACAAAACAGAAACAAATACAACTAATGTGGCACCTATATTTAAATTTACTTATGGGCAAGCTGCGTAGCGGTGGGGAAATTTTGACACGGTCAACAACGTCATTGTCATCACGATGAAGTAGTAGTATTTTTGCGATTTCAAATTATAACCCCCCCTCCCCCCATGGACCCCTATGTAAAAAAAATATTGTCATAAATATTGTCCCCCCCCCCCCCCCACACCTCACCACCACAATTGTGTAGAACGACATTAATGTCACACCTAGGTATACACTGGGTTGGATAATTGACCTAAAGTGACTGGACAGTAAAAAGGTGTGTGAGCAATACAGTGATCTAACCCATACCTATCACTAAGTTAAAAAAAGATCTTTAAGGAGCACAAAGAAGCAGTAGTTAATTCAAAAATATCTGATCTGAACTAAATGACCGACAATTAGTTGAATGTAGGCTGTTAATGTTATTCCGAATGTATTTCTAATACGATGAAAAGCGTGGTTTTATACCAACTCTGATTTCAAAAACTTTCATTATGCTGTAATACTTTAGCATTTATGATGACGATATATTTTATTCTGATTATAGACAAAAACATTTTGTTAATACAAATAGTTTTAAATAATTTCATTATATTCTAAAGCAGTTATTTATTTGTTTTGACATTTATAATTAAATGTGTAGATATATACATATTTATATTAAGAGAGTGATTATTTCCCCTATTTCACTTGTCTTAAATAATTTCCCAGGAATTATTACGTAAGAAATTTTTTACAAGAATTACAAAACAGATTGTGTTACTTTCATTGTTTTTGGTTGTAGTGTGTGTATATTTTGTTTGTTTTTTGGTAAGATTGATACTATTTTTGTTTTGTCGGCCTATATTGTGTGTTTTTTCTTATTTCTTCAGAGTGCTACTTTCAATTTATTTTACATCATAGCGAAGTAATGACATGCAGCTAGTAATTATATATATATATATATATATATATATATATATATATATATATATATATATATATATATATATATATATATATATATATATATATATATATATATATATATATATATATATATATATATATATATATATATATATATATATATATATATAATATATATATATATATATATATATATATATATTATATATATATATATATATATATATATATATATATATATATATATATATATATATATATATATATATAATATATATATTATTATATATATATATATATATATATATATATATATATAGTATATTATATATATATATATATATATATATATATATATTATGTAGCTGGGAACGGGAGCGCAAATTAAATTAAATTAAAACAAGCTATTAAAGTCAGTAACTATCTATTTGTTAGTATATTAGCACCATTTATAAGTTAAAATGCGTGTACATTTGTCAGAAAATCATCAATCTGTGTAGAATGTTAAAATGCTTATTTATGTAGAAAAAATATTTTGTTTTTAATTTCAATACGTAAACATGTATTTAAAGACGTTAGTAAAATTAAGATCCATATTTCAATTTAAAAATAAACATTTAACAATGCAAACAACGTACTAAAAATTCATTTTACTCCCTGCATAGAGTTCTTCTCTTCAAAACAAAAATGGCCGTCCGATTTGTAGCCATGATAGTTGTCGATTGAAAATTTTACTGCGTTATATTTACTGCATTATTTCCTTTCGGCTATAGCTTTAATGATACATTTATTTGCTATTTCAATTAAGTTGCAACAATATTTTCAATTTTAATGAGATACTCATGACAGATTTTCTAATGGAGAATATAAGCAAATTAATTATGTTTGTTCGTTTTTTCAATGAAACTTTTACTTTCGTATGCTAACCAGTGCGGGCACCTAAGGAAACCATAACTTTGTCATAAAATAATAAATAGAAATAAATTAGTTTAAAATCTAGAACCCAGAAACATGATCACAATTCAATAGGATACGCATGACAGTCCTTCTAACTCAAGAATATTATTAATTTATTCAGAGGCGTTTCGAAGAAAAATATGTATCCAGTTTGTTTGACACTTTGGGTGTTTGTTGGCGATCTGAAATGTCTTTCAATTTCTTGCTCTCCCCCCTGAATGTTTCTTCTTTACTGGTTTGCTTTCCATTTAATAACCTCTTAACTAACGAATTCTAAGCGCCACTGTTGTCTTAGTCGCAATATATTTAGTACTAGCGTACCCGTCCCCGCGCGTTGCCGCGGGAATAGAAGAAAGTCCGACGAAATATATAAGAATGGTTATTTAAATGTAAACAATGCCTGCGCTTGGATAATAAATATCGGACACGCATGAAAACCTTGAGTGTACATTAATCACTCACCGAATAAAATGAGGTAGAACACACTTCGGTGACCGTCCATGTGTCAGGGACGTAGAGGGGCGCTCTCAGGAGCCCCCCCCCTCCCGATTACACTACCGCATAGGAGCAGCGCACGGCTCCTGGCTCCTTAAAACTAACAGGCGCAATCGTGCTCATAGGATAAGCCAGAGTGCCAAATAGCATCCAGTA